TTTTGTCCTGAAAAATGGCTCTTGAATGAATTTTACAATTAGACAGGGTGCATGTGCCCAAGGGTGTAAGGGAGGAAGAGAAGGGGGTCAAAAAGCGCACGCTGAGCGCGAGCTACCCCGCCCTGCAGGCGAAAAGCCCTGGACGCGGTGACCCGCGAGGGGCACTTTTTCGAGCAGCCTTCACGCAGGGTTGCAGACAGCCTTCTCTCTCTGCAGTGATCTGTGTGCTGGCCGCAGGCTGACGGCTTTGGTAGAAACAGACAAGTCCTCAGCATCGCTAGACCTGGCAGCTTATTCTTTCGGTTGAAAAGACTCTCAGTGCAATTCTCCTGCTGCCCCCTAGTGAGGCTGCTGGGTGATGCCTCGTAAATTCCCGCAGTTCCTGACTTTGGTTTCAAGGCTGAAGCTTGTCAACCTGGAGACTCCAGGTGTTGGCTTTCTGGTTTTCCTCCCTTCTTGCTCCAAACTGAATCCCTAACAGTCACTAACGACATCAGGAATGTAGGGGTGAATGCATAGGTCAACGGGACAGCAGAGGAACACGGGCAGGGTAACACAAAGGCATGATTGTGGCCAGGAATGTTGTCAATAGCGCTAAGACATCTACAGAGCGCCAGGGACCGTGCCTACTCGTCGTTTGCCGTACGTGCTGCTGTTCCTGATCACCTTTTCTTCAGAAACCAGTGAAGCACAGGGCCTGGAAGAAACACCATCTGGTCACAGATGCATGAATGAAAATGTTATCTACTAATGTAGACCATGGAGGGACGCTGCTGCTTAAGAGCTGCAGTTGAAGACAGAGCATCTACGTTTGTGTACGTGCCAGGAAAAGACACACTACTCACGGTAGATACCTTAGCACAGACTGAGAAATCCGAGGGGCAAATGCTGCCTCTGGAACCCAGCAACTGCAAATGGGAGGGTGGAGGAAGACAGAGAAAATAGTTATCTGCTCACACCTGTAATCCCAGCACTTTGGAAGGCTAGGGCAGGCGGATTACCCGAGGCTAGGAGTTCAAGACCAGCCTGGGCAACATCATGAAACTTCTTCCCTATAATTAATAAATGAATAAGTAAATAAATAAGCAAATAAATCCCCCAATATTAACAAACTATATACAAAAAGAAAATACTTCTGAGTGTGAAAGCAATCCCCATAATGCAATCCCCCAGTGTTCTAAAGGCCCCTACTTTTTGTATTTTCTTGAAGAAGTCTTAAACTTAAAAGTCACATTACATCAATTATGACAAAATTGATATTTTAAAAAGATCTATTACAATTTATTTCAATTGGGGTCATCCAAAGGCTTAATAACTAGGATCTACAGAGAACTCAATTAATAAAGATAAAAATAAAAACTGCAACAATCCCACATATCACTGGGCAAGAGAGAGGAATAGAATCTTCTCTAAGGAAGACAGATGAATGGCTAACAAACAAATAAAAAAATGCTCATCATCACTAATCATCAGAGAAATGCAAATTAAAATGACCCTGACATATCACCTAACCCCAGTAAGATTAGCCCACATCACAAAGTCCCAAAGCTGCAGATGCTGGTGTGGATGTGGAAAGAGGGGAATACTTTTACAGTATTGGTGAGACTGCAAACTCATACAGCCTCTTTGGAAAGATGTATGGGGAATCCTCAAAGATCTCAAAATTAGATCTCCCATTTGATGCCACAATCCCACTACTACCCGGGAGAAAAAAAAAATCATTTTACCACAAGGACATTTGCACTAGAGTGTATATTGAAGCTCTATTTACATTCACCAGGATGTGGAAATAACCTAAATGCCCATAAGCTCCGGAATGGATTAACAAATTGTGATACATGCACACCATGGAATACTAATCAGCCTAGAAAAGAAAAGATGGAGACTTCACATCTTTTGTAATATCCTGGATGGAATTGAAACACATTCGTCTTAGTAAAGTATCACGACAATGGAAAAGCAAACATTCAATGTACTCAATACTAGTATCAAGCCAGTAGATGATCTAATGCATGCCCAAATAGGAGAAAAACTCCTCTCAATTCAAGTTGGGGGGAGAGGGAGGGGGTTTGGCACAGGGTTTGGGAGGGGGAGGTTAGAATACATTTTGTGTGTGAGATATAACCGCAAGATGAATTCTATCTAACTAAATCAAATATTTTGACCTGGTTGCTTGTATCCCATTAACCTAAAATAAATTTACTTAAACATTTTTAAAAAATAATTTGAGGTCATCCATAGTGTACCTGGAATACTTTCTGGCTTATGAAGAAAAAATATGTATACATTTTATAAAGCAAAACTCTTCATGTATGTATGTGCTGTGTTTAATGAGTTAAGGTTTTGAATAAAGGAGCTGGAATGGAGACCTGACCTGTTTTGAAGGATTCTGGCTGCTATGTTGAGAATAGACCACAGACCAAGGTAGAAGCAAGCAGATCAGCTAGTGGGCCCCTTGAGTGTTCTACACAAGATGATGGAGGCTCTGACTGGGGTAGTAGCAGAGCCAGAGGTGAAAAGTGGTCAGAGTCTAAAGATATTTTAAAGGTACAACCAATGGATTTTGTGGATTTGCCCACAAATCCACAAAGGAGGGAAGGTGGAATATCAGACTCAAGGATGATTCCTCCAAAACAGCCTAGTAAAACATCTCAACATCTTCAAGTTGTAGGGGGCGAGAAGGCATGATAGTTAATTTCTAATGTTCAAACTATTAATCAGTTCTAAAAGTGGCTTAATTCAAATTCATGTACAATAGTAAAACTATTTCTGCAAAAGCAAAAGCTGGAACTATAGAGTGATAAAGTATGATATAAAGATAACTTTCAGGGGGGCAATTCCTTCCTTAACGTGATAAACATTCTCCTTTATGACATGGTTTTCTTACGTGCCTTACTCATCTGGTTTTGCTATCCAATAATTGCCTGATTTGGGGATGCATTTTATAACCAGTTTATCTGTCCAAGAATAGAGAACAGTGAGCCTGCCCACATACTCTCACTAGGTCCACCTGCATAGAGAGACTTTTTTCTTACCACAGTTGCTATAAGGAATTACCAGACTGGGTGACTTAAATAATTTTTTATAGTTCTGGAGGCTATAGTTCTGTCCAAGATCAAGGTGGTGGCAGATTTAGTTCTGGTGACATCTGCTTCCCGACTTGCAAATGGCCTTCTTCTTTTTGGATCCTCACATGCCAGAGTTCAGAGCAAGCGCTTGAGTCTCTTCTCATAAAGGCATCAAGCCCATCCACTAGGGCTCCACCCTCATTTTCTAATTACCTCCCAAAGGCCCACCTCCTAATACCATCACATAGGTTAGGATCTCAACATATGAATTTGGGGGGGACACAGGCAGTCCCTAACATCAAAGGACAATTTGTGTCCAGAAGGCCATTTTGCAACCTACTAATCAACTAATAGAGTAGGCAGTCAAATATATTTAGGTATGTATTAATAGTTAGCCTTAGTGTTCATAGACTTTTACCTTAAATATACTCTGTCAAAATTAAAAATAATTATCTATAGATGATCACGTTAATAACATGCAGATAACTAATTCTTCTGGAATCTCAATTTTTCTTTTTCTTTTTTTTTTTTTTTTTGAGACAAGAGTCTCAAGCTGTTGCCCTGGGTAAAGCACTATGGTGTCACAGCTCACAGCAACCTCAAACTCTTGGGCTTCAGCGATTCTCTTGCCTCAGCCTCCCAAGTACAATACCCAGCCAGTTTTTGGTTTAGTTGTCATTGTTGTTTAGCAAGCCCAGGCTGGGTTCAAACCTGCCTCCCTTGGTGTATGTGGCCAGCACTCTGCTGACTGAGCTACTAGCGCTGCCCTGAAATCTCAGTATTTTTTCTTTTTGGTTTGGATTGAGCTAAGCAAGAGCTATTTACTGGAATTCTAACACTTTCGAAGTGTTGCATTTACTGAATTGCACTTCAATGTATCATTGGTCTATACTGTCCCCCTTGAAATTGGTCATTTTACTTCTAGGAATGTTAAAATAGACTATACCATTACACAATCCATATTATGAAACTCCTTGGGAGGAATATTTTTCAGGCCTTAGTAGTGAGTGATGCGCCTTCCAGAGCAGTGATTTTCACACTGGTGTGCTGAGAGGATCTTATGTGTGCCTCAAAAAATTTTTAAAGTTCATTAATAAAATTACTTTTGAAAGCAGTTCAAAGCACAATGTATATTCTTTTACTCTTTTTTGACCAACATAGTTTAAGTGTGCCACAGAAGTTTACTATAGGTTCAAGTGTGCTGTGAGATAAAAAAGGCTGAACAACATTGTTACAGAGACTGATCCTTGCGGAGACTGATCTGTGTAAACGAATGCTTCTTCCTTACAAAGAAAAGTAAGTTCAGAGTCAAATTTACAAATATACTGAAGTGTTCAGGTTACAGTGGCACACACTTTTGTTATACATACATCCCTGGGCTTTATCATGTCTAGCATAGTTTTCCCTTTAACAACCTTACTTGACTATCTTGGTGTTTTAGTTCACTATTTCATTGTTTTAATTCTGAAACAAAATAGCAAACTTTGGGCTCAAGGTAGACATAGGAATGGAAAAAACAGAAGAAAACAGGGAATGAACAGTAGAAAGTTAAAGAATCTATTGCTACCAAGAGATAAAAAAAAAAAAGATGAATGTGAAATAAATATAAAAGGACCATACTAGAAGGAAAATACAAAGACAACATCGATATGTGGGATTTTCACAGATCTCTTTACTAAAAATCTCTCTCTAAGCATGAGCTAATATATTCTGAATGCGATTTTAATGTAAAGTGTAAAAACTATTAAGTAAATTAGCATAGTATGTTCCATATAAAATGAATTCTTCAAAACAAAACCCAGGCTTTTCTTACTGTCACAATCACCATCTTAAAAAATACCAAGAATTCAAATAATAACCTATTTCCACCTGTTACTTAAATAATGAGACCATTGACAAACAAAATCAAGGCCAAAACATGTCATTCTTACAATAAATTTTAATTTTTTTTTTTATTTTTCCTGGAATTTTATGTTTACTTAAAACCTTATACATAGTAAACAGATATATTAATCCATTTGGCCTTTGCATAAACATTTTCAGAGTTTACTCACAATGTACTCTTTAACCCACACAAACTGCTTACAAAGAATGCTTTAAACTATAGTGATGATTTAAAAAGAAGCACACAACATTGAAAAGAGTCTTCCTGTTTCAGGAAAAATGGTTTACTGTGAAGTTAGCCTCTTTTAACATTTTTGGTGTTAATCCTGAGTGAACCAGGATGGCCGCTTTCTGGCTCGTTCAATGATCCTCTTGCCCTGATCTTGTTCCTGTGGGGTCTCTCCAGCGTACAGCACCACAGTCTCTATGGCAGGAGCCTTAAAAGGGCCCCCTTCTTGTTTCCCTATCTGTCGTCGAATTTCTGCAGTTTCCTTGCGCACCTTCTCATAGCAATAGCCGCAAAGGACATGTTTCTGTTTCAAGTGACCACATTCAGGACATGTGTCAATATTGTTCTTTAAGACAACAAACAAAAACATTATTTTAGCAAGGGGCAATACAATGCCTAAGTAATCACTGATGGGAGTGACACTCACATTCTAGCTTTCTGGAAGGTTCAGGCTACATGAGGTCATATACCATCTAGTTCCACCTCACTTTAACAGGAAACTGAGGCCCAGCCATACTGAGTTTGAATTGGTAGGAAAAACTAGAATTAGAATCCAGTCTACCAACTTAGAATCTGGTATGTTTTTACTTACACAGCAGTCATGTTTATGTAAAAAGGTACTCCATTTTCCCCCAATTCCAAACACTAACCATCTAAAAGAGAATCTATCAACACAATGGGGTGACTCCTACAGTCAGCATCAGCATCTTGAATAAGACAGCAAGGAAAAACAAATTCACTCTGTCTTTCAAGCTATCTTGGGGAAAATAATTCTAGGTAAGAATATTACAAGTTGGCTACTTCTGTTTTATCACAGTGTACTTCAAATTCCTATATAGAACATAGGTTAGGTATATGGCATGAAAATTTTTTTGTTACAACGTAAGGATTTTTTTTTTTTTTTTTTTTTTAGACAGAGCCTCAAGCTGTCCCCCTGGGTAGAGTGCTATTGCATCACAGCTCACAGCAACCTCCAACTCCTGGGCTCAAGCGAGTCTCCTGCCTCAGCCTCCCAAGTAGCTGTGACTACAGGTGCCTACCACAATACCCGGCTATTTTTTGGTTGCAGCTGTCATTATTGTTTGGTGGTCCTGGGCTGGATTCGAACCCACCACCTTAGGTGTATGTAGCTGGCACGTTAGCCACTTGAGCCACAGGCACTGAGCCAATGTAAGGATATTTTAATAAGTTTTTATACATGTCTTTCCAACTTAAACTATAACAAAACAATTATAACCTCTAAAAGACTTTTTTTATTTTCTGAGACAGAGTCTCACTATGTCACCCTTCATAGAGTGCTATGGTATCACTGCTCACAACAACCTCAAACTCTTAGGCTTAAGGATTCTCTTGCCTCAGCCTCCCAAGCAGCTGGGACTACAGGCACCTGCCTCAACACCTGGCTATTTTTTGGTTGCAGTTGTCATTGTTTAGCTGGTCTCAGCCAGATTCAAACCCACAAGTCTTGGTGTATGTGGCTGGTGTTGTAACCACTGCACTATGGGCGCTGAGCCTCTAAAAGACTTAACATGTTTTGAAGACATATTTGGAAAAACATAGAAAAAAAGAGTAAACAGGAACATCAAAGAAGCTTCAAACACTTCCTGAGATTAACATATAACACTACCATTTGTGAGGCAGATAACAAGATAATTTTCTGAAAGGAACATAGAACCTTGCACATTACTCATCTAATCACGTTCTCATTTTACTCCACTGTACTGGAAGCTGGATTGCATATCCAATGAAAGGTATGAAAAGATAGTCAGTTGGTCTTTTTTCATGATCAAAGCACCCAACATAGTACACTATATGTAGCAGAAAATATTCAAAGAAGAAAATAAATGCACAGGGTAAAAGCTATTTTATTCCCTCAGAATAAAGGCAATTAGGAAAGGCATGTAATAATTCAGTGTATGACCTCATTTAAGCCCTCTTGATCAAACTGTATAAAATATCATAAGTCTTAAGTAATAAAGTATTTTTCAGTTCCAGATTTAAGTTTAGCCCCAATCGTGACTGATAATATTTTTGGCTGGCTCGGCGCCTGTGGCTCAAGCGGCTAAGGTCCCAGCCACATACACCTAAGGTGGTGGGTTCGAATCCAGCCCAGGCCCGCCAAACAACAATGATGGCTACAACCAAAAATAGCTGGGTGTTGTGGCGGACACCTGTGGTCCCAGCTACTTGGGAGGTTGAGGCAGGAGACTGGATTGAGCCCAGGAGTTGGAGGTTGCTGTGAGTGGTGATGCCACAGCACTCTACCCGGGGGACAGCTTGAGGCTCTGTCTCAAAAAAAAGAAAAAAATAATAATAATATTTTTGGCTTAAATTCTAAAGGTTTAGTTTAAATGGTGAATGTGGAAGTTTATGAAGGTCAATTCTCTGTTCTTGAGTTTCAGCTGAATAGGAATGCCATGAAGTAAACAGTAACTGAAATCATAATTGTTAAAGCTATAAATTCACCAAACAGAGGTAATTAACACTGTTAATTTTCTTTTGACTAGGTCAACAAAGAGAGTACATCCATGTTGTAGAGGAAAGGGATATGATATTGTGTGAGAATAGAGGCACACCAAGAAAATTAGACTGCCAAGCCTCAAACCATGGCTCTACCACTTAATAGCTATGTTGACTACAGGAAAATTCTTCTCGCCAAGCAATCTAGGCAAGCTAACTTTCTTCATCCTAAAATGAAGAAAATGGTATTTGCTTTGGAGGGCTGTTGTGAAGAGATGATGAATTACAGTACACATAAAGCATTGAGACATCATAGACACTTACAGATGGTAGTTATTTTACTACTTATATCAGGGTTTTCCTTTATAGTACTTTACTGGTATGGTAAACAATAAAATATGTAAGGGCTAGTAACACCCAAAATCAATATATCTACTGTTTCTGATTTTAATTCTAGGCTTTGCCATAGTCAGGATGTTAAACCATTTGTAGTTCAAAAATCACACAGCTCAGGACTGAGACAGGTCATAATTCAAAAGTCATGAAGGTTCTTCATAGCCTAGTTAGTTCTCTGTCTAATCTCCTAACTCCTTCCTTGACTGTATTTTATACATAATGAGAACACTGTATTTTATTTAGGCTATTTACATAGACATATGAGATAGGCTATATGAATATACCATCAGGCTATACAATGGCAGACTTGAGAAAAAGCATACCCACAAAATCAACATTATTACCTTAACTTTAATAAGCTTCTGAGGGTTTCTTCTTCTGCAACGATTAACTTCAATGGTGCGTCTGTTTTTGGGAGCTGCCATCCAAAAGATACTATCCAAAAGGCTGGAATTCTCCCTACTTCCATTTGTATCATTTGCTGGTTCTGTAAATAAGACTGGACCCTGGACTGCTAATGCTGGTCCTATAAAATAAAACATGAAGATACAGAATTGGTTTCTAGGCTTGATGCCTGTGGCTCAGTGGCTAGGGCTTCAGCCACATACACCATAGCTGGCGGGTTCAAATCCAGCCTGGGCCTGCCAAACAATGACAACTACAACCAAAAAATAGCTGGGCACTGAGGCGCCTGTAGGCCCAGCTACTTGGGAGGCTGAGGCAAGACAGCTGTGATGCACTGTACCGAGGGAGACATAGTGAGATTCTGTCTCAAAAACAAACAAACAAAAAAAATTGGTTTCTAGCTTCTAAATGATTTAGATACCATTCTTCTTAAAAGTTAACAAACACACAGACATTTGACAGGTATTAAAATATCCTAAAGCATGGCATGGCGCCTGTAGCTCAGCAGTTAGGGTACCAGCCACATACACCGGAGCTGACGGGTTCAAATCCAGACCAGGCCTGCCAAACAAAAATGACAACTACAACCAAAAAATAGCTGGGTGTTGTGGTGGGCACCTGTAGTTCCTGCTACTTGGGAGGCTGAGGCAAGATAATCACTTAAACCCAAGAGTTTGAGGTTGTTGTGAGCTGTGATGCAATAGCGCTCTACAGAGGATGACAAAGTAAGACTCTGTCTTATAAAAAAAAAAATCCGAAAGCACATACAATAGGCTCAGCACCTGTGGCTCAAGTGGCTAAGGCGCCAGCCACATATATGTAAGGTGGCAGGTTCGAATCCAACTCAGCCTGCCAAAACAACAACAGCTGCAACCAAAAAATAGTTGGGCATTGTGGTGGTTGCCGGTGGTCCCAGCTACTTGAAGGCTGAGTTAGGAGACTCGTTTGAGCCCAGGAGTTGGAGGTTGCTGTGAGCTGTGATGCCACAGCACTCTACCCAGGGAGATAGCTTGAAGCTCTGTCT